TATTTCTAACGATTCACGAATATTATTACCTATTACACTTTTTGAAGGCCATAGATAGGCCTAAATAAAATGTTTTTAACTGTGTACCAGTTTAACGTTGAATATTATTTATGATTTTAACTTTATACACAAGTGCCAAAATACTATAATGACATTAAGATATTTTTTCCTAGATTTTCCTCCTCCTATTTGGTTGTGAAAAACGTTTAAGGCTTAAAAGTATCTAAGAAAAAAACTTTACTTATTTGTAGGTATAATATAAAATGGGTACTGTTTTTATTCAGTTTCTAAACTTTTTCTTTAATTTGTAATTTTTTAAAGCTTAGTAACTAGAAATTTGTTTTTTCAATATTGGTCTAAAGCAAAAATATATATTATTTGATTCAGAATTGCATAAACACTGTTAGTCTTAATGTACTAGTTTTAAGTTACTTGTAAGTTTGTAAAAATACCTTATTGAGCTACATTAAAGTTGATTCAAAATTGTACATTTGTTTTGAGAATTTATTTACTTGGATGTTACATCATTATCAAATTTTGTATTTCTATGTATTTTTGACTGTGATAGACAAATAAATACATGCCACTTCACAGAAATACTGTGTTTGAACTAGTAGTGTAAGATGTTAAAAACAGTATTTTTATATTTAAGTATTTCTTAAAAGCATTAGCTTTCTCAGTATCAGTCTGTGTAACAACTGTGTGTTAAAGGTTATGCTATACATCATACAGCTACATCTGAGGTTTTAATTAACATAGAATTTTCATCTTTATTAAAAATTGAAAAAACAACTAATTATGTTAAAACCTTTAACAAATTGTTTCTACTGAAAATTTTGAGGAACACAAATAATTATTTTGATTCGGGGTATAGAAAACAACTTGAGCATATGATGAAAAATGGTGCATTTTGATACAGCTTAGAACTTTAATCATGAAAATAGTTTAGTAATTTCATTATCATATTATAGCCTCGGAATATTTATAAATGTAATATGTTTAGTCATAATATACTTGTATTAATGACAGAAAAACATTTTCACCCAACATAAGGTGGTGTTTGTGTATTATAAAAAGAAGAGTTTAATGGTTATAATACTTTTATCTCATTTTTTGTTCTTATTTCTATTATAAATTTTAAAACTATTTTTGTGAAGCCCTTCAGGAACCCTACCAGGTTTTGAAATTAGTGGTGACTATCTGGCAAAAAAATGCAATGGGTACTGGTATTTTTTTTGCCAGTTGATAATCTAGGAATGGTTATTAATATTCAGACCAATTTTAAACAATGGTTAAAATTTTAAAAAAAAATGGCTGTAAGTACAAAATGTATAGGAAAAACATACTACTATGATCAATAAGCCTCTTCTGGTAGCTTGTTATACATCTTTTATTGATTCCTCAAGTAATAGCAAGTAAAAATAGCACCTTAAAGTGGTGTTTCAGTTTTTTTTATAGCTTGTTTTATCATATCATATTAGGAAATGTAATTACCATGCTAATATAGATCTGAAATTTGATTATATATTAAAAATATGAAATCAAAAATATTGAAGCTTTCTAGAAATCCACAATAGTTGACAAAATGAGATTTTTTTTTGCAAGCATAGGTGATTTTTAAAGTAATATTTTCTAATGGATAGAAAAAGGTCATTTAAAGCCTTGTTTAGTAATAAAGTAAAGAACTATATGGTTATATTTTAGGTTTATATGATGAAAAATTCTTAATGTTGTCTCTTTTTCCAAACTTCAGACAGCAGTGCAAATGCTGAATTTTAACATAATTTCTTGACCAAAGATTTTGGAATTAATTTTAAGTTCTTGATGTAAATCTAACATAGGGAGTACAACCAAAACTTCGTAAACCTCGTATTTAATTGTGAGCTACAAAAATAGGGTTTTAGTGTATTTTTAATATATAAATAGCATGACTAGTTTGAAACTAAATTGTCTTTCTCCCAGATAGCCATTCATGCTGGACTTGAGTGACAGACTATAAAATAGCATGTTAATGATGAGGTTTTGTAATTGTTTTTAATAACATTACATTATATATTATTTTTCAAATGAAAAAACATAAAAGAACAACTCTGAAGTAATGAATTTTACATATGGGTGTAATACATTTATTAATATTGGCTCCATAGGTATAATATTGTGAGATCATTGCATAGTACTAAAACACAGATTTTGTTTAATGGGCACGTGCTTCATTCAGAGTGAAAGCACTTAATGTTGAAATGATGTATGTCATCAGCTTCCTCTGTCATCATGCTTGAAATTCTTATTTTTATTCAATTTCTTGCATAATCATGCAAAGAAAAACTTAGTAAAATATTCAACATTAAGCTCTTTATTAGCAATTTTTAATTTTTCTGTAATTATGAAGTTTTCTGTTCCATATTCATCTAAACTGAACTTATTGAGAAATTACTTCTTGCTACTGCTAAATGTATGGTGCACTTGTATATATTGCAAACTGTAGTGTCTTGTCCAAGCATTCATGTCTTCTGTTTCTAAAGCTGCACATGCGGGTAAAGCCCATCATTCACTTTTGGAATGATTGGAAAACAGGCATGAATAATGTTGATGCCAAATTTTATTTTGCAAACAGGATATTCTTCACTAAATTGTTAGAAATTAATTACACTATCATTCACATTTCAAAATGTGATGTAACTTAAAGAATAACATAACAATGTA